TCATCCTTTACCAGGATATCTTTCCAATCTTGAGGAATACAATTGAGTATGTATTGGAGATTGGTCTCTCGTTTGTGGCAGCCTTTCAGTCGGGCACTAGCTTCTTGTTCTGTTATCCAGTCTTTTCTGTCCTCCATCCACAAGTGGTCTACTTTCCAGATGCCGTTCTTGATCCATGATAGCCATCTATGTTCTAGGAAAAGAGGGTTGTTGGCTTTGTTTGTCAGCCATTCATTTCCGAAGAGCGGTTGTCTTAGTACTTCGTCTATAGATTTAGGTTTGTTTATCTTGTTAGGGATTATTTTCCTCCATGATCGAAGCAATGCCGGCCAGTAGGGGGTGGGCGGCCGATGGTCTTCTGGTCCGTTGTTCCTCGTCCGGTTCCTCCGTCCTATGAAAATCACCCATTCTTTGTTCATTACCCAAAATAGGCCTGACATGTCGTTCGGGGAGGGAACAGGAGCTACCGATCTGATACTGTCCAGAGCCAAGTTATTCCAGGCGCTGTCCGGATTCATCAGCAGTTTGATGATCCATTTAATTTGCAGAGCCTTTGTTTCCATTCCGGGGTCAATGATTCCTAGGCCCCCATCGCGTGGTCTTCTTGTGATGAATTGCCAGGCTATCTTAGATATGCACTTGTCTTTGTTGGGGTCTCCTGTCCAAAGGTAATTCCTGGCCCGTTTGTTCAGCTCCTTAATCGAGCTGTCAGAGACTGTCCAGATAGAGGCAATATACCACATCATGGAGAAGACCGATGTATTGAGAACCAGTGCTCGGCCTATAAGGGAAGTAAAGGCATTGCCCCATCTTCCGATTTTGTTAATCTGTTTGGCCATCATAGCCGGGCCCATTTGGGGCGCCAGTCCTTCTTTCGTCATCAGGATACCTAAATAGCGTGTGGGTGTGTCAGGTGTTTGCCATGTCATAGCCGCCTCATCTCCTTGAAGAGAAAGGGGTTCGTCATCGGAGAGCCACCAGCCAATTGTTTTCCCCCAGTTGATCTTCATTTCTGAGGCTAGCCTGAATGCCTCCATTGCCTTAGCTAGTGTTCTAAAGGATGAATCTGATGCTCTAATTAGAACTGTTAGATCATCGGCGAACATGATGGCTGCGGGGAAATCCATCTGGTGGGCCGAACCTACATCGGTGCTGGCTAGTCTCTGGATTGAGGGATCCTTGCGTAGGAAGGATGCGATTGCCTCCATTACGAATAGGAAGGTTGAAGGAGCTAGAGGGTCCCCTTGGCGGACCGAGCGGGAAATCAAATAGCAATCTGACAATAGTCCATTGACTTGGACACAGCCAACGGCATCCTTGTAGAGTATCCTGACCCATTTTCTAAAGTTCGGTCTGACTCCCATTCTTTCCATGCTTGCTTCCATAAAGTCCCAGTTGACTTGTTCATATGCTTTCTCAAAGTCAAAGAAGAGAATGGCGACATTTATTTTCCTTTCTCTGATTTTTCTTACAGACTCATTCAATGTCATAACATTGTCCAGGATGTAACGACCCGGGATGAATCCTGTTTGGTCAATGTGGAAACATTGATTGGTAATCTTGATAATCCGGTTCGATAAAGTCTTGGCCAAGATCTTATATGGGAGGGTTAGCAACGATATGGGCCTGTAGTTTCTAATGTCGTATTTTTCGCCCTTTTTGTAGAGTAGCGTGATTACGCTGTGAAGATTACCCAGCCCCCCCTGGGACCAGCTGTCATTATAGAAGTTTATTAAGTCGTTACCTAGCAAGGGCCAGAATTTTTCCCGGAATTCTTTGGTTAAGCCGTCGATTCCTGGGGTCTTATTATTGTTCATACTTTGTAGAGCCCGAAGTATTTCATCTGATGTGAAGGGCTTGTCAAGCGTTTCAGCCTGTTCAGGTGAAATTGTTCGCTCCACGTATTATAGCATCTTTTTCCTTGCTTCTTTGATGTTGATGGGTATTGGTGTCCCCGTCTTGGACTGGTATAGCTCCTTGTAGAACTTATTGGCTATCTCAAGCATCCCTTCACTGTCTGTTTTCACCGTTTCGGGAGCCGTGTGTGACCTCAGGCCTTCTATCGTGCCAGCTCTCGAATTAGCTTTAATTCGGGCAAAGAAGTGTTTAGTCATTGAGTCGCTTAATTCGTATTCGCACATTCTTGCTCTTATTTGGAGGCCTCTCAGATCCCACCATTTCCACATGGCCAATTCCTCTCGAGCCTTATCGAAGATTTCGATATAAAGTTGAGAGGCGGGGTTGTTTGACAGGTTAGATTCAGCTATTTTCATAGCAAATTTTAAAGACTGCTTTCTTAGCTTCCTTATCGATGCTAGCTTCCTAGACACTTTGGCCGCGGTGTCTGAAAGGGTCGAGTAGCTCTTCTGGAACCATTCCCATCGAGGAGTAGTGCTAAGGCGTACCGACCTCAACCCTTGCCAGCAGTCACAAATTTCGTTTTGGAAGGTTTTACTCAGCAGGAAAGAGTTGTTGAGTTTGTGGAAGCTGGCTCCCTTTGAAACCACTTGGTCAAAGCATATGACTAGTTCAATTGGTTTGTGATCCAGCCCAGAATATGGAGCCAGTGGTAATACTTCAGCTTCCTTGACTACCCCCATCAAGACTTCGGATACTAGGAAGTAGTCGATTCGTGAAAAGGCCATATGGTTGGCATGGTTCTTCTTGACTAAGGTGAAGGTTCTCTTGTTGGGGCGCAGGATTCTATGGGGGTCTGCCAAGTTGTTGTTCAGCATCATTTCCTGGATTGGTGTTGCTTTTGATAAGTTTGGGATGGTGGAGGATCGGGAAATACGATCCATTGAGGGTTCTATTGTAGCATTCCAATCTCCAGCCAGAATACATGGGGTGAATGGGGGAATCAGGTCACCGATTTGTCTGAGAAATGATGTTCTTTCGGTTGGAGAGTTGGGGGCGTAGATATTGAAGAGTAAGAATTTCTCTTCCTTCCATCTCAGGTGTAGCATACACCATCTCCCTTCAGTGAGATCGGCTTTCTTGTCGACGACCGAGCTTGCTGCATATAGGCGGGAGGATTTGGGGATCAGGATGGCCGTTCCCTTGGTGCTGGTTTCAGGGTCAACCGACCAAATTTCTTCTTTGAGGCCGCCTAGTTTTCTTGCCATATAAGCTCGGATTTTGTTGTGTGCTGTTGAGAAGGTGAGGTGTGTTTCCTGCAGTAACACTATATCAACTAGCTTCCTTTCCCTCATGGATATCCCAAATAGTATATCGTTCCACTTTTCTTCTCTTTCTAATATGTTCCCTAACCCGTTAACATTCCAGCTTCTGAGGACTAGTCCTTGGTTCTTCCAATCCATGTGGCCTCTTATCTCGTTCGCTCTTCTCCTGTAGCTCTCCATAACTGTGGCTGGATCAGAATAGAGAGACTCTCAGTCCCGGATTATCTAGGTAGGAGAAAGTGGAGAGGTGCCCGTGCTGGCCCCTCCCCAGATATCGCCTGAGACAAGCCTACTCCAGCGTCCTTGGCTGGAGAGGCTGCAGGGTGTCCTGCCTGCTGCCCACGATTCCTCCACTGCGGTTTTTTTTTTATGGAAAAGACAGAACCTTAGGCTCCTGTCTCCCTATCCATTCATTCTGGGGAGCGTCAGTCCGGTTCCTTTTCCACAATGAAGTTCGTTTGTTTCTGTTTGTCTGCCTGCATCTTGCTCTCCATACCACCCAGACCATTGTATGTATTGGCTGAGGGTGTTTCGTATCTACGCAGAAGTGTCATTTGCCTGGCACTCTGAGGTATGCGATAGCTAAGTGCAATCGTGATGACTCCAATAGGTGTGGCAGACAACATCGCCGCGGCTACTCACACTAACATGTCCTACATCTACTTTCCCTGGTACCCCGTATCATCCTTACTCCCTTCGTCTCTTGTGTTGAGCTGTCGCGACGCCTGTTGCTATGTCCTATCTCCTACCATTGTGTTCTCTTTTTTCGGTCTATAATGTGCCAGTCATTTGTCTACTGCTACTCCTCTGTATTTTGCTGTAAGTAGGAAAATGAAGAAGTTCGAAAGAAAAAAAAAAAAAAGGAAGAAATGGTCCATCGGGAACGATGCGGACGCAATGTCTGCCCATTTGGTTGCTGCGCTTTGCCATGGTTATTGTGCACAGGGGCAATCGAGCAGACAGTGTACTATTGTCTCCCTTATTCCTCCTCGAGTCCGTGACACATTTTGCACAGTCAGCGCTGTTCCCCTGTGCGCTGTTCGTTCGTTATTCATTCATCCAGGCAGTCATTCACTGGAAGCGCCCAATACAGAACTAACCACCATGGCAAATCCGCTGCCGGCCGCTCTGTCCATTGCTGGGGAGGTTCACCTGCTGGAAATCGGGTCCTCACTGAAATGCTATTCAGAAAACATACGAACACTTCCGGGAGGAAGAGACTCTGAAGCCTCAATGCTGCTCTCCAGAGGAGGAGGAGGAGGAGCAGGGTGAAGGAAGGGAGTCATGAGGCAGAGGAGAAACCCAGTCAAAGGTGAGATAGTAAGAACGACAGCAAATGAAGACAAGGTGGAGAGAGAAAAGAGGGAAATTGAAATGCGCAAGGCCAGTGCAAGAACCAAATACCTGTAGAAACAGGGAGCGCATCCCTCGTAGAAGATGTCGTAGAAGCCACACCCGATTTCGTTATCGGCGGCCTGCTGAACATCAATTGTCGAGCGAACCCTGGAGGGAAATCTATCTCTATCGCCGCCGCGGCCTCCTCCTCTTTCTCCAATCCCTGTGTCTGAGCCAAGCAGCTTCCATTCTTGCAATTCGGTCAAGTGCTGAGCATATAGGAGCATATTCCGCATCGACGGTGGCACTGTCGTTGGGAGCCCATCATTGACCTTGGAATCGCGATAGGATGCGGCATCACCTGATGTGAGATCGGAATCTATGCCAGAAAGCAAGCCTGCATGGAGTGGTGACAGGTCTTGCAATAGATTTCCTCTTTCCAGTCCACGGCGTGCCCTTGCTGAGCGGCGAGCTTTGCCACGATGGCTATCCAGCACATGCTCCCCTAACTCCCAAGACCTGTTGAAGGAGCCCAAGCCAGAACCTGCTCCAGTGCGTACATGGATCTGGTTCTGAAATGAGCTGCCCACTGCATGACGGGTGGATGTCCGCAACTCGGCGACGGTGCCGGAAGAGACGAAAGAGGTGGACGGCCTGCTTCTTGAACTCGCAGTACCCAGCAACCACTGGTGCTCTCCGTCTCTGGAGTGCAACCTATTTGGCGGCATGTGTTGAAGCATACCTGCGTCCTCGTCTGCCGGCCGTCTCCAGCCATCCTTAGACTGCGTGAAATTCGAAATCATAGACTGTGGTCCGCCTCTCCCTGTGTTGCACGCACAAGACCCATTCGCACAAAGACCTCCGTGAAAAGGATCATTCTGGCATCCATCTGCACACAGTTCATGCCAAATACATGGTCAGGAACATGCACAAGAACTCCTCCACAGTTGATGCCAAATACATAGTCAGGAACATGGACAAGAACTCCTCCTAAGGAATAAATAAGGTACGAACATCTGTTTAAAACAGGTCAACATGAGGCAAAACGTTGAATGCAGAGAACACACGAAAGGATGACTGGTATGCAAAACAAAGTTGAATTCATCATTGACGGCTCTTATTTTACGTTCCAAAGCCACCGAATCAAAGGAAACAATTGACCTCAAGAGTCAAGAGCATGCATATTGAGACTGCTTGAGACTGCTTGATAGCCACCATAATGAAGTGTAGGTCAAGATTGCTGCTATTGAAAATAGGTTTGATCTACCCCGTGTCGTGCCAATACCCAGAAACACACAGTGGGTGTCATTCCGACGGGCTGGTCTTGTGGAGCACATGGAAGAAAAGGGGAAGCTTCTAGGGTGTGTTAAGCAGTAGTGCTCCTGGTGTCGCGTGGAGATCTTGTGGAGTTAGGGATTATGGCACTCTATACACTCCAGGGGCCAGACAGCACATGAAAGGGTGGTTGTCTGTGATAGAGATCATGGTGACGCGAATGGGTAGTTTGGGTTGAGTAGCAGTGCCACTGTTGTTGTAGTTGTGCGACTAATGGTGGCTTTGTGGGCTGACTCAGAGGGCTCTCTAAGTTTTTTAAGACCAATTGCGGACGTGGTCGGTGGTTTGTTGTTAGTGGAGCCCTTTGTGTTGTGGTGCAAGTCGCAATAATTTTTTGAATTCTTGTGTAATTGAAAATTGTTATTTGTTAAGTATGTTGCCTTTCGCCCTCCATCCTTTCATAAATTTTTTTTTTTTTTAAGCATATAATATATATATAGGGTTCAGCCTCCTGACGAGTCAGTGAAACTCCAACAAATCAGTTTGTCACAGCCCCTCGTTTGTTGTCCTCTTCTCCCTCTCTGCCTATGGCAGTTCTGCTTGACGATAAATATGTATATTTTATATATATATATATATTCTATTTGACGATATATATATATATATATATATATGGCGGCAGGCGGCAGACGGGTGTGTGGGCACTTGACACTTGACCACACAAATGTAGCCAACCTTGCATCTTCTGCTATATTGCCTATCTACACTTCTTTTCGTTTTATCGATGGTTTGTGACGATTTGTGGATGGAATGAGAGAGAGAGTTTGGTTTTTTTTTAAACACACACACACACACACACACACACACACACACACAC